AGATGACCATTTTAGGGTAAAAATCCGTTAAAAATGGGCAATGATACAATTTTTTAGATGTTCGAAAATCCTAGGAGAAGCAGGCAGGCAAGAAATTTTACAACAAATGTTCCGAAAATTCTAGATCTTAAATCGTCTTCCGAACAGATATTTTCCGAAAATTGACGTTGGGGGCCCCTGATGGATTCGACTTAAAGTTATTTCTTACTCTTTACTTGTACCTTAGGGCCAGTGTACTTCCTCCCTCGCGTAGTGCGCATGCTTTTATTGGCAAAGTACTTAATTTTAAGAAAAGTAGGAGTGAAGAAAGCTACATTGAAAGAGCATGTTTCCCATTCAGAGCATTGCGCCTTGTCACGACCTCTCCGCACGACGATTTTCTCATAATTCTGAAAAAATATCCTCTAGCACATATGGTAAAGATTAAATTAAAGTATAGAACATAGCTAAATCTAGCAACATGGTTGCAGATACTCAGAAAATTTTGTGACCCTAAAATTACTTTTTTATTCATGAGAAATCAAGTGCCGTAATTAAGTGATCCAAGGACACTTCCTGCTTTTTTTTCTCTGCGTTGATCTTCTTGTGAAAGAAATTATTCTAAAGGATTTATTTCAAAAAAGATCGTGTTGAAAATCTATAAATACACAGTGTAAATATGTTATTAACTAAACCGACGCTTAAAATGATTCCTCTATCTAAACTGCAAAACTAGCTTATAAAACGAAAACGCGATAAATCAATTTAGTATACATATTTCCCCTTCCGTCTTCACGATTCATGTTTTTATTTCACCCATTTTGAAATCACTGGTGATCCTTGCAATCTGATTGGCTCTCAGTAGTGTAATTTATTCGCGAATCACACAATATTTTTTGCTCTAAATCACATCTCTTTTAACCATGCGTATGAGACCAAAGTTCAGTTACCATTATATACCACACTTCTTTGTCAGCTGAACTCTATGATGGTATTCAAAGTCCAATTAAAGGACAACTCAAAGTATTTCCTAGTAATGATGTCAAGACGCTAATTTATTTTGTAACAAAGTTCTTCTCTACTTTGCGATCTCAAACTTTTTTAATTGCAAGGAATCTTCAAGTAAATTCATTAGTTATTGGTATATACTAACGGGCATATACGGCCTTGGGCCCAGTTGTTCGTACGCCGGTTAGCGCTAACCCGGGGTTAAATTTTAACCCGGGTTTCTTTTACTTTTTAGCAAAAGCACTCTCTCGAATAATTTTCTCTATTATTTTTAGAGTATCCAATCATTAAATTGTAGGCAAAGAGAATTAAACTGAATTTGCTTTTTGAGCTCTCATATCTTAGTTGAAATTTCGTACTAACCCCAGGTTATCTTAACCCAGCTTCGAACAACCCGGCCCAGGCGGAAAAAGACGGTTAGAGAGCATAAAGCAAACAGTTGAAAACAGCGAAACTAGTTAGGACAATTTTAATATCGGCAGTATTTTAAAACATTACGTTACTGCATCAACTTCACAATAAAAAGATAAAGAAAATCCTGTGGAACTGAATAAGTAAACTTACTACGTCTTGTCTCTTTTTGGGCGGGGGACAATTTCTTTAAAAACAGGAGCGATTCTGAGAAAGAGGAAACTACACCGCTTGCAAGGGCATAATTTAAGCAAAAGTGATAAATCTCACAATTTTGCTGCTTTAAACTTTTTAGTCTCTCCAAATCAGCATCAAAAGGATTTGGCCAAATCAGGTTGAGAGTAAATAGGAGTTATCAGTGAAAGAGTTAGGGTCCATTTTTGATGAACGGGAAGCCACAAAAGTTGTCCGTATGGTCTCACATCAGTAGTGAGCCGCACCAGTATATCGTGTTAACAGTTGAAGTTTTAAACACTCAGTCTAATGAATTTTAAGGAAAAAAAATACTAGAATTTTTTGCTGGAATGACTCAGTGTATACGTATGCCATTTCAATTGGCTAATATTTAGCTTATTATAATAGTTCTAGAACATGAAATGAGAGAATTATTTTTCATTTGTTTGAGCTTTTCCAACGCTTTTTTCCTTTTTCTCCCGCGGTTGCCCTTTGGACGACTCTGCCGGCAAAGTCCCGAAGTTTCGAACTTTCAAAGTAAAGGCAACTTAAAACTTATCAGTAAGGCATTTGACTGTCTTTGTGTGTGTGGTTTTTTTTACAATCAGAATCATTTCATTGAAATTCTTCTAAAACTCACAGGAGTGTTTTTTTCACCCATGAGATCTCCAACTTGGCTAATTCGGGAGGGGGATTTTGAGTACGTAACAATTTATGTACTATAGGAATTAAGAAGGAACATCGATTTAGTTCCTAATGCAAATAGCAGAAATACTTACATACGACCGCTAGATGTTGGCCCTAAACAACTTCAGTTTTGTCGGTTTAACGTATAAACACTAACCCGGATATGAGACGAGCGGAACTAATTAGATAAACTGAGACCACACGATATATGATGTGCATGCACAATTAATGCAACATGTTTAACGCAAGCTTTCCTGTCTTTATGTCTACCACATTTTAACTGTTAAGCCCCATAATTAGCCCATTCAAGTCCAGTTCAAGATATTGGCCTTAGCCTGTTGTTAATTTAGTTTCAACTTGTTGAAGCTTATAGCAGCGTTATAGAAAAAACCGCCTCAAAACGTATCAATACACTGTTAAAATGTTGGTTACTGAGTTTTCTGAAAACTTATAAAACGCAAAAGTTTATTTCATAACTTGGGATTTACTGTACGAAACTAGTTTTGAAAAAACGGATTTTCGATTTGATTGGCTTTAACGTTTAAAAACTACCTCATTTTTTTCATACATTGTATCCTTTATTTACAGTGCTAGATTTCAGTTTTAATTCAAATGTGCCTGTTTCCTCAGTTGCTCATGTCTCCTGTTATCAGATAGCTCCGAGGTCCGAAATCAGAAAGAACTTAATTCTCACGGTAAAAAAATTCACTAATTGGGTACACAATTGCGCTGTTAGTGAATTTTAGCATTACGCAGCTAGATGACTGGGAGTTCATTGGGCTGTCATATTTAACAATCACTGTAGGTGGTAATGTAATTAATGGGTCAAACGAAAACGCAACGTGTCACGAGCTAACAATATTCGCGTTAACAATGCAACTTTTTTCCCTTTGTGCTTTATTCTACTTTGATGCACTCAAAATTATTGGAACAGGGATTTAGTAGTTACAATACCGTAAGTTGAGTTCAAGCTTTGCTCAAGTTCGCCATTTGCATAATGTCTTATCAGTAACTACTGTGATTTAATAGAAAAAGAATTTGTCTCCCAGGAAATATCAACCTACACAATAGCAAAAATCTCTTCAAAATCCTCATTGTGGAACAGTACAAGACAAATGACTACATGTTAAAAAAAAACATTAGCTCGCTGGTTAATTCTCATTCACTCATTCATAAACTCATTCACCTTGATGCACAATCATTGCCCTAAAACTCATCAAATGTAAATTTAGGGCCTATGGTTTATTTGGGTACAGTAGGATGCACAGGCTCTCATAAAATTCTAGGAATATACAAGAGCACATGTAACATGTGTCTTCACATGGGTGGCAATTTCCAAGGATGCTCACACGCAGTGAACTGCCACTTTAAAGCCCCCCCCTCCCCCCACTTATATGCCCCCCCCAAGTTATGGGTCCATCTACCTGTAAACAAACAAACAGGGGCACCAAACGACGGACTCCTCCAAAATACATTGAAAACACTTTTTAGGCTATTCAGCTAGAGTACTTTATGCATTCTAATAAGCAGTGCTACAAAATTTTTATCTCTTCAGTCATCCTAGGGGACCTAAGTCTTTTCGAAATTACGAGGGCTTCAGTATTATTTTTCCAAAAATGTTAGGTGCAATTTAACGTTTTACGAAAAAGGTTTCTTTTCGCTAAGAAAAACAGTGTAACCAGGGTAGTAAATTATAAAAAATGAAACTTCAGAAAATCGTAGGGAATTTATTAGATAAGCTTTGAAAATTGTACATGAATGGAACGTTCATCTAGAAGTTTACTAGCCGTCCTCAAGCAAAAGAAAATTCCAGCAATATTTGCTTCTCCGAACAGATATTTCACAGAAAACAGTCGTTGGATGCCCCTGAACAAACAAACAAACAAAAAAATACATCTGACTATCAGCCTCCTCCAAATGAATTGAAATGAATTCAATTCATTATGAAGTTTTGAAGCTTAATTAACAACCAGTAAATGCAAACAGTATTTTGATCAGCACTAATAATAGCTTGTTTTGAAGTCCTTCATCTTTCCTGTTTAATTAAAGCCCCTCAGATATGAGCCCCTCCATTTATCAGCGCTCTTAGAACCACTTAAGAAGATGTGTCAGCCCAGGCCAGGGCTTACAAGCGAAAGTTTAGAGTATTTCATTTGCTCTACTATCCCTGAGGAAAAACAGGGATTACTCGTGGTCTGGTTGTATTGACACATATATTATTGTTCTCCTTTTATTTACTACTCTTCAATAATTCATAACAAAAATGCAAAGGAAATTGATGTTAAATGAGTGTCTCTTTATGAGTGGTTCTTTTTCTCAGATTCTCTATTTTTTTTCAGGAAAGATTATAAATGGTACAAAAAGGAAGTAATAAAAAATTAATAGATCCACGACAGACCATTTTCAAGCCATTCAATAAACTTGCAGTTCATGTTGTTCTATCAAGTTTTAAATTTGAGGCTCACTCCTGCTCATTTTTTAATGTTGAAGGAGCTAGTGAAAGAAAAGACTGAAAAGGACATTTCATAAAATATTTCCATACAATGTACCTTCTCATCAATAAATTAGCATATTGGGGTTATGAAATCAAAATAAAGGAAATATAAGGTTCTCCAGTCACGTTAAAAATAAACAAATATAGCAAGGAATAAATGTCATTATTGTCTCTTCCAAATTAAGTCTGTTGTTGATAGGCTTTCCATTTGTTTGCTGCAAAGAAACAATTTCCCTGAGATTAGGATTCATTTCATTTGTTCTTTGATAAAGTCTTTAGCACTGTTAGCTCCTCTTGCTCCCAGATCCCACATAGCCTGTGGTGCTTGATCCAGTTCACTGAATGCCTTCTGTACTCCACTGTTCCAAGAATGTCTTAGTTTTGTTTGAGTAGGCATCTGAAATTCAAAAAGCACACATTTTGAAACCAGTCAATAAATGATTTCTACGTACATTCCTATACCTGCCAACTTTTTTGCAGTCAAATGCATGAGATTTTAGCCCTGTCATGGCCATGATTTTTGAAAATGCCCCAGCAACTTCCAAGGATTTCCAACAATTTTCCAAAAACTTCTGAAAGTTGCCGAACACGTCCGAAGATGTTCTGACGACCGTTGAACACTTCTGAAGCCTATTTAACAACTTCTTAAGCATGTTTTGATTGTGTTAGGACACAAATTCATCATTCAATGCCTTTTAGGAATACTTTCGTGGAAATTTTGAATTTTTGCTGATAATTATGTGTTAAAGAACAATTTGTCCATATTTGTGAGTCAGGTGTGAAAAATTGCTCTCATGCATGAGATTGATATCTTTCAAAGGATGGTGATTTATCCAGTAGATAGTGCTATCTAGCATTTGAACAACCAGGGCCTGGTATATTGTCCTGTAAAAATTCTGCCCTGACTTTCATGTAAACACCAAATCCCAGGAGGGAGATTGAAGGGAGAAAACAGTTGTGATTATAGAAAAAACAAAAATTCTAGACTATGTCTTTTAGTTATTATCCCTTCCGATCATTCTATTTCTAAAACATAAGGGCATTTTACTATCACTAAAATATTGTGCAAATCTATGTAAGGTGAGTCATGAATTTAGTCACCTGTAGTAGTGTTTACTATTATGAGTTTTACACCACAGTTCTAGAAATGCCAGTTTGTTTCCTCAGAGTGAACCTTCTCACTCAAATTCACTACTAAGTCAAGTGAGTCAAGTGACATACTGCATGAAATGGACCCATTTGATGCACATTCAATAAACGTTGGGAATTCAAATTTCCCATTTTTCTGCTGACATGATCCGTGTGGACCTATGGAGCCAGTTTACTGTATTTAAGCTCTAAGGCCCGGTTCAGACGCTGAACTTTACCTGAGCCGAACCTAATTCGAATTAAGGCCGACCCAGATTATTAAGACTGGCTGAATTTATTCAGACGCAAACCTTAATTGCAGCTGAACTAAGTTCAAAAGGGCAAAAAAAATCAGTTCGGTCAAACTGCTTACAAAATACGCTGTAATAATTTATGCATTAGGTTCGGTACGTGAAAAGTTCGGCGTCTGAATCAGAGCCGTTCCAAAGTCGCTCCAAAGGCGAAATTCCCGGGCTAGGTGAAAAGAACGGCTGAGCCGTTCCAAATTGAAACAGGCGTTCCTAATTGATTCAGACGCCGAACTTTTCATGTACTCAATGTACTAGGTTCGGCTCGTGAAAAGTTCGGTGTCTGAACGAGGCCTAAGCTTCTTACTTACCTCTGGCAAAGAAAAAGGAATATTTTCGCGAGTTTTACTGTCCAACACGGATAATTGCTTGATGGTGTTTTCTTGTGAACTCAAGACTTCTGATAAGCCATATAATGCAAAACCCCCGACGGTCAACTTGCCAGCAACTTTCACCAGCGATACCGCCATGTTGCTGAGTTGAGATTCAACAAGAGAGGGGTGGGGATCTTGACAGCAGTAACATTTCAATAAAGTAGTTAACCCAGAAAGCCATCAAAACCTTCTGAATGAGAAAGCATAAACCAAAATTTGATTTTGTTATTATCAGTTATAGCTTATGTGGGTTTTTAAAATTCCTGCGAGAAAAACGTATATACTTTGTAGCCTGTAGCATAACCCTACCCCACAGAGATTAATTTTGCTTTTCCGACTCTTAGCAACCAAGCCTTATCGTCTTCAACATGGCGGACGAAGCGAGAGGAAAGGAGTTTTATCGAACACTGAGCAAATTTTTATCAGATGAGGAGCTCAAAGAAGTGAAATCACTTCTTCGAAAGGTAAATTAATCAACATGTGTTGTGTTTATCGGCGCTTATGTCTCTCGACTTCATTTCACAGCCAAGGTTACATGTTTTTTATCCGTACATCCCCTCCCCCTCTTCCCTAATTTATAAAATGACTTGAAATCCGAACCCTCAAGTTTTTGTTTCGCCATTCATTTTGAAAATCGAGATCCGAATGATAAATTTTGTGTGGGCATCTTTGACAATGGAATGCCCCTGAACTTACTTACATAGTCCACGTTACAACCAGTACAGCAGATTGGTCCATATGGTAGACGTGGTCGACCATAAAACTGCGCATGCCATTGGGTTTCCTCCAGAACTTCTAACATCTATTTAATATGTATCACAGAATGATGTGGAGGAGAAGTTGGATGTAAAATACAGAGACTGGATAAAAAAACAGGACTTTCGAACAAAGCCATGTGATGGTGATCAAGATGAAGAATCTCATTACAAGTTGAAAATCGCTGCATTTTTTGAGAAGTTAGTAGAGTTTGCTGAGCCAGTTATTTTGGATGAACACGGTGAGTTACCTGTTTTTCTCCATCTTTCCTGGACAATTTTTAAAGAAACTTTACTGGAAATGCACATTTAAAACTCAATGTCATTGAAAAATTACACAACAATATCCTCTGTATGTAGTCTTGTACAAGAGCATAGAAATGATGTCAAAATGTTCAAATCCTGGGAGCCAAACCACTTGCATGCAGCTTGTTTGGAACAAAATGGCGTCATTTCATGGTCTATTTAACAAAATGATAGATTCTATGTTGCCTTGCGCCTGTTCAGAAATATATCCTAGATGATGTCAAAATGTGTTAAAAACAAAGAAGTGGCACATGAGCCACAGGCATACATTTACAGGGCTCTTTTTTTTTTTTTGGTGTCAGTGATGTTTTTACCAAATTTTGATGGCTTCTGTGATCTACTGAACAGACCCACGGCAACATGGAATCTATTTGTTTTATACAATGAACAGAAAGGAAAAAAAAGACAAACTTGCCTTGCACCACTTGACTGTTCAATGATTTGTGCCAGTTTAACCATTTCTCAAGTAATATAGGCTACTTTTCCTTTTTCTGCCACTTCTTTTCTTCTTTGTCTTACTTGTGTTCAGTTTCTCCGAAAAGTTTTTCAATGCCTGAGGGGGTGGGGGGGATTACTTGTCTTTAGGAATTTTTGGGTGGGGATATGCCACTGGGACCCGGGAACCCTTAGCCTATACCAGAGCTAGTTCAGTTGAAGCAACTCTATACTAGACTAAACTCCCCAAATCCCGCCCCCCCCATCCAGGGTACGTCGAAACCTATGTCCAATTGTCTGGGACAGGTAGAAATTTAGTTTGGACATGTCAACCTTTAGCATGAATTGTCCGTGAGACGAGCACATTTTTAATTAGAAAAAATAAAGAAACAGTTGAAAATTGTCATCAAATTATGGTAGAATTAATATTCATCTTAAAAGTCACAAAAGCAAACCTCATACTTGGCAACATAAGTTTACATATTCCTTTTAACTTTGCTATTCCACAGTCATTTCATTTGTTTACCAGCTCCATTTTAGTTCTAAGTCAAAAACAATTTACAAGGGTAATAGTGCGATTCAAAGTGTTAAATGCCTGATTGTTTTTGAGTTTCGAGTTTTGAACTAAACTTTTTGGACAAGAACTCTTGGGTTTCGGACAACCAAATTTAATACATGTTTAGTGCTTGTCTGAAGGACAAGTGGATGGGAAACTTTTTCTCTTACCCTGCTATCCTAGAGTAGTTGTTTTCCGGAAAGTACTGAGGACAGTTAGCACAGTCCAGCCAAAACAAAACTGATTTGATTTTGTTTATATTTTTGAGTGGCAATTCCCGGTTTCCCTAGTCTAGACTGAAAATTATCTTTAACCAATTGATCAGTTTCCTGGAAAAGGATACCCTGTTCTAGACCCAGACTCTCTGATTTACATACCCTATCCCAGACTAAACTGCTTGAAAACCATACCCTTCAAAGCGGCACATACCTATATAGCCCATATATGGTAGTACCCCCCTCCCCTGGGTCTGTACTCTAATAGATCACGGGCAACGACCAATCACAGTGCACGTTGCGTAATTTACATCATTGTTTAAAAGAGTATAGAGCATGGAATATTTTTTGTTGATTGTCCTCTAAGACTGAATGCTTTATCTTTTCAAGTGCTCCCAATATTAATTTATCAATACATTTGGAGTCAGCAGATTTACTATTTTAACAGGCTGTTAATTTGTCAGTAAAAATTGTGCCTGCAATGCATTCAAGGTGTCACTCAATTGTTAACTGCCAGCCTTTTTATCCTGCATCATTTATCAGTCTGTCATGTCATTTGGAAACAGCTTGCTTTATCAGTTGTGAAATTTCTTTGTTTGTTTACGGCAGCAAACCGGGAAGGCATTTTGCTTGCAACTTACACGAGTTTGGCGTCGCTCGCTCCGAGGAACTGGAGGTGAATCAGTGAATAGTGCAGGATATTCACTGATTGAGTAGCCAATCAGTGCGCCCGAAAAACACTATCCACTGTTTTAGTATATACTAATTTAGGATATTCAATTAGACATTGAGAACAAAAATGTGTGTGCCATTTCAGGATGGGATAAAGAAGAAATGATGAAGTATCATGCACAAGCTTTTACCGTCATGAAAATTTGTCAATTGTTGTGCACTGTGTTCAAGGATGCTGAACAAATGGAGCCACAGAGTAGATTAACTCAGGTACCACCATGTTTCAATAATTGTACAACTACATGAGAAATTTCTGATTTGATTGGCTGATTTGATTGGCTTTGAGCAGTAGTATTTCAGCTTGAGTATTGAATAGTTTTTCAATTTGAAGTACGTGTGAAAATTACAAAACCTTTGCGGGTAGTAGTATAAACAAATAATAGCATGATTTGTACATGATATTTGACATAAATACCACTCGTGATATTTCAAAATTGTCTCAAATTTCACTCACCTAACAGCTCGTGAAAATTAATTACAAATAACAATAATATCTTAAGACATCAACCGTGGTTAATTTATGCCAAATATCACTACAAATCATGCTATTACGCATACTTATTACTACTATCATATTATTATGTAGGATGCAAAGACAGCAGCTGCTGCTGTCATCTTAAGGCTTATTGGTTTAAATGTTCAAGCCCAAGTGAGCCATGTCCAGCCCAGACCATGACAACCAGAGTTTCTTTTAATATTTCTTACTTAGTTCCACACTTCTCAGAGGTGTGGAAGTGTGGAAAGGTGTGACAAGGTCAGGTTAAAGTTGCACTTTTTGCCCTTGTCATTCTTTACTTACATGTACTTGTTGTTCCGCACTTCTCAGAGGTGTGGACATATGGAATAGTCTGACAGTCTGGATATTGTCACACTCTTTCCCTTGGTAATGAACCTGTCATCATTCCTGCTTTACTTAGTTCCACACTTCTCAGATGTTTAGAGCTGTGGATGAATAGTCTGACAAATTAAGGATAAAGTCGCACTTTTTCTCCAGTCATTAACCTCTTGTCATTCTTTACTCACTTAGTTCCACACTTCCTTGAGGTCTGAAGGTGTGGAATAGTCTGACAAATTAAGGATATAGTCGCACTTTTCTCCAGTCATGAACTCGTTATCATTCTTTACAATGTACTCTGTTCTGCACTTCTCTTGAGGCATGGAAGTGGGGAATAAACTGAGAAGTTAGGAGCTAACTTAAGAATGGCAAGGGGTTCATGACTGGGGGAAATGTGAGGCAATATCCTGACTTTCTCAAACTATTCAACACTTTCACACTTCCACAGCTTTGAGAAGTGAGGAACTAAGTAAAGAATGACAAAGGGCTAGTTACTGGGTAAAAAAGTATTTGTGGCCAAAGTAATTTACAATTGAAGGATTTCCAAACTAATTTTTAGCTTGAGATGCGTATACATGTAATTCCATTTTTGAAAGTGAAGTGCAGGTCCAAATGAAAATTTGGCACACTCAGTACTTCAGCTTTGTGAAGTAAGTTTAGAATGTGTTTCTGTTTTTTTTTAGTGTTTGTGATACTGGTTAATGATGTTTTTATGATCTTTTTGTCCAATAATATCTCTTTTACGTTTACATGTAGCTTCCATAAACCAGTCAGTTTTAAGACAAAAATCAAGGGGCTGCAATTTTCTCTGTGCAGCAGTGGATACAGAAGGCAGATCCGACCCCCTTTGAATGCACCTATCAGACTAGAAAAGTTCTAAATATTTTTAATTTTACTTTAAAAATAGAATTTTGTCTGCAGTATTTCATATAAGGATGTGGTTAATTCTAGAAAATTACCTATGTGTAATGGCCAGGAAGGATGGAAATAATCTATAATGAGCTGGGATAGAGTTTGAACAATCAAGCTCGACTTTGTACCCTCCAATAGATAATGATTCTTGCATGTGATGGAGTATTACATAATTCAGCTCCTTCTGATCAGCTGTTTGCTTTTAAAAGGTGTGTTTACTCCACAGACTGACAAGAAGTATGTCTTGAGAAAATCAGCCTGTTGTTTGGTTGCATTATGTGCAGCAAATGTAGAAGAGCATCCCTGGACAGATGAACAATCAAAAACAACCGCTCATGGTCAGTATCTTAAAAATAGATTTAAAAGCATATATAATAGGGCTTCCAAATCCCGCTTCCCGCCACTATTTCTTCTTTCTTCCCGCCATCCCATTTGCTTCGCATGTGTCATCCTGCTCTCGCTACCAAAATTCTTTTCTTTCGCGACAGACCCATTTTTTTCCGGTTGGACACGATTTTTGCGGGTTAGGGTTAGCACTACAATTTGGTCTTTTCTCACAATAAAACTGCGGCAGTCAGTTTAGTTTGTTAAATGTTTCCTCTTTTGGGTAAGTTTTGGTCAATCAAACAACAGTTTTCTTTAGCAGAGAACAGCGCAAGGACCATGACAAAGGCCCTCAGTCACACCAAACAAGAATTCACAAACAGTTATGCCTGGAATCAGTATCTATGCCCAGGTTTATTCAGATATCCTTAGATAAGACTTTCCAACCCCAGGAAGTTGTTCGTTTTAGCACCTCTTTTATTTTATAACCGTTTTTGAGTATATTCTCTAGAGTACATTGCAACACTGTGCTGACCTGGCACTTGTGATGAACATAAACATGCTGATTGTCCTCCACATTAAGGGTCATACAACTCATGCATGAAATTCGTGTTGTCGCAGGGAAACATTTTGATGATGTTTCAAGCCCCATCTTAGTAGCTGTACCGAGTTCACTGTTTAAGTGGCAACACTTCCATGAGGACCATCAAAGTCTGTGGCAACACGCATTCCATATTAATTTTGTCATGTTTCTGAGGAATGATACATTCATATTAAGACAGAATACATTAGGAAATTGAGTGATTTTAATTCTTAGTGGACAGAAACCTTGTACCAGAATAATTTAGACAATATTGCATGCTTTTTTACATTTTTCAAGGGCTATAGATGTAATAAGTTATTTGTAATAACACCAAAGAAAACTTCTTATAAGAGCCCGAGAAAATAAATGTCAAATTTCACAAATGACATCTTACACGTGAATTTTTCAGAATTTTGCCTGTGTTTTCATACCCTGGGTACCAGAGGTTTTTCTCGCGTACGGTGGGAATTTTCGTTGTTGGCCGTAGGCCGAAGCTACGAGCAGCGAAGCCGCGAGAAAAATCACTATAAAGACTTGAAAGAAACCGCAAACCGCGCTAGAAAAGTCTCAGGCACCCAGGGTAGTGTTTTCACAATTCTTGTGAAATGGGGTGTATTCATTTGATTACAGTGTAACAGGAGTACAGGAGACTGGTGTATGCTGTACAACGCTTTTTTTGATATGTTTTTATTTCAGAATTACTGGCTCTTATTTGCTCCTATTGTCACTGCTCATCTATTTCTGATCTCCTCTGTGGCTGCCTTGAGGTGAATCTAAGTGAAAATTCTTCCAAGGATAATTCAGAAGACAGTCGACAGACGTTTAATACACTGTTTCCATCAGGACTGTTCAAACATATTCTAGATTATCTTAAACCTTCTCTCCTCAAAGACACATGGAAAAGATCTCCACTGGCTCGTCATGTCTTGGTGTGGTGTACTCTAGGCTTGAAGGTATGAGGAAATTAACAAACACAAAGCTTAAATGTAAAAACACTTTAATTAATAATAAATAGATGTAAAACTGTAAAAGGTTTGAACCCAGGAGTCATTTCATAAGTAGGTTTAGTATGATCGTNTTCCAAGGATAATTCAGAAGACAGTCGACAGACGTTTAATACACTGTTTCCATCAGGACTGTTCAAACATATTCTAGATTATCTTAAACCTTCTCTCCTCAAAGACACATGGAAAAGATCTCCACTGGCTCGTCATGTCTTGGTGTGGTGTACTCTAGGCTTGAAGGTATGAGGAAATTAACAAACACAAAGCTTAAATGTAAAAACACTTTAATTAATAATAAATAGATGTAAAACTGTAAAAGGTTTGAACCCAGGAGTCATTTCATAAGTAGGTTTAGTATGATCGTCGGAGTGAGCGTAGTCCTGAGTGGCTGAATAGGACTGTAGTTGTTGACAGTGACTGACGTTTCGACAACCTGTGCGGTAGTCATCTTTTGAGTCAAAGTGAATTGTATCACTTCCGTTGATGGTATTAAACTCTGGTTATTGACCTGATTGGTCAATTAAGTCGCCATGTTATTGGTCGTCTGTCTGTTAAGCCGTGATGTTATTGGTTATGAAGACTCGTAATGTCATTGGTGCGTTTTGATGCGTCTATTGTCAGAGTTAAACAGTCGTTTATTGTTAGTCAAATTGTCAGCGATGTCCAGTCGTCCTCTCGCGTCTTATCTAAGTACAGCCGTGAACACCTGTTCTTAGATAAGACGTATCTTACCTAAGACGAGCTAAGACGTGAAAAGCTTTGCAATGAATGACCTTCCTGTCTTATTTACATGTAAGATGCGAACGCATCGTACGCATGCATTAATGTTTGGAGGGATTTACCAATAACTATTTTCTACATTAAGACATGCTCATATAAATGTGACAGTTTGCATGTTATTTAGGATGCGTCTTGTGTAAAACGCGTCTTATTTTTCCTCGTGTAAATGACACTATTGTGTCTCATACAAATGGCTCATCACCTTTTGCCAATCTTTGCTTGGTAATCATAATTGCTGCGCACTTGTAAAAGTCTCTCCCTCACTGTGAGACAGAGCATGTACAGCTGTAACTGGGGTCAACATGTCCTATACTTTTTTCAGACATTGTCATTGTGGGTGCTTTGATGTCATACTTGAATTGAAAAGCACTTTTGAAGAGATAGGTCTCATGGCATGGCACAAACACGTGCCCTTTGACACGATCATTTGAACTGAAACATCTGAGATAAGATCTTAAATCACAGCCAATCCCATGTCACCAGATTATAACAGACCCGGCTAGGGCTTTAATCCACTAGCTATGGCTCGCCGGAGTGGTGCTCTTCCAACCAAGCTAACTGGGTGATGTGTAATGTACATAATATGTTTTGAAGTTTACCCTTATATGGGACAGAGAAGATTACTTTCTGTGAGAGAATTCTTAAACTTTTTCTTCCCAAACCAAGTGAAAGTTTTTTATTTTATTTTTATTTCTAGATGCATGTCTGACATGCCTTTATCAGTGACCGGGAAAGAAAATAGTGCGTTTTAGATAACATTCATTTTTGTTGTTTGACAGCATCCTTTTGTTGGTGATCATTTCCCTAAACTGATGTCCCCACTCTTGCTGTTTATAGATGATTATGAGGTACAAGACTTCCATGATTTGAATTTTTTCCCATCGTACAACATGCACCAATAGACGAACACAATCCATTCACCCAACCAAGGGTCGATTTGATAAAACCTTTACAAAAAGTATAATTTACAAGTGTAGCTTTTGTTTTTAGGCTCTAAGGTAATGGCTACACGTGTAAAATACACTTTTTAAGGTTATCCCCAAATGATGACATTTAAGTGTCAGAAATCAATTGATTAATAATTATTTTATATGTTTTATCAGGCGTAAAGGAGCTATGTCACGGAAGTCTAGTTCACCTTGTTGACAATGCCAACAACGTGTCCTTGTTCTCTATGGACTTAAGAAATTACTAGTGAATGACAAAACCACAGTTTCCTGTCAAACAAATATGTCTCCCACGCATTATATCAAACGTTAAAAACAACAAAAATGAAATTTGTGAAACTGTTTGGCTGACAAGTTTTGAAAAACCTCAAATGCAATCCGTTCCAGTCTTTTCAAGTTTGTCCATCCTTGTGTTCTCTTGTTATTTGTACCTTCCTAGTTTCGAGCTGTTATTTAGTTTATTTTTATGTTTCACTCAATTTGGTGGCAACTCCCACTGTTTGAATTTTGATAAATTTCGTGACACAGCTTTAGAGAGTTGGTAGTTACATGGTAATAAGAAGCTTTTGCGTTTTCAATTTTAATGTCCTTTTTTCCTTTCACAAACAGGTAGAAAACAAAGTCTTGGGTTTAAAATGTTTGAAGCACGCCGTTGATAACATGGTATGTAGATCGTTTATAAGTGACTGAAAAAATAAAACCTCTTTTGGATCAGATTATATCAGAAACTATTCTTACGTTAATTTCGATTGTAGAATTCAGCAGAACTGCAGTGGTACGGAAGGGCTGATGTTCTTTTTGAGGTAAACTGACGCACTAGAATTTTTTTAGAAATCAGTTAGTATGCTGCAGTTATATTTTTGAAGTGCAGTAGTCACTTACTCGAAAATCAGTTCTATTTCTATATTGTATGCAGACTCCTAAAGGGGGGTATTCCCTCTAACGACCTATAGGGGGACAGTGGTACCTTTTTCAGCTTCAGGTATATGAAAAGGTTGGGAATTCACGAGTTGTAGTATATGAAAGGGCAGGAAAAGGGCCATTAATTGATAAAATGTTTCGAAAAGACTCGCGTTATGGCTATATCTTTTCTGAAATAGTATTGAATAGTATTGTGTGGATAGAAAGAAGAGAGATGGATCGGATTTGCGAATTTTGAGGGATAGAATGGTGAAAACGATAACGTCCTTGCAGGCGTTTGCTTTCCTCCTCGCGCTTCTTATTTTATCCTTCCCCTTCTTCCTCAAACGTGTGCCACAACTGCACGTAAGATGTTAACATGAAAGCATTCACACCAACATTGACGCAGGGCCAGTGTCGGTAGAGTGCACTTTTTTAAAGCTAGTGCCTAAACAGACAACCAACTTAAAGCATACTTTCTGCCGTACACAGAAACTAATTTAGATTTAGTAAAATTACATGCTAACTAAAATTTGTATAGGTAATAGCATGATTTGTAGTGATATTTCGAAATTGTTATATGTAATTTCACGAGCCGTTAGGCGAGTGAAATTTGAGACAATTTTGAAATATCACGAGTGGTATTTATGCCAAAATTCACGTACAAATCATACTATTATTTGTTTATACTACTACCCGCAAAATTTTTGTAATTTTCACATATAGGTATTTCAAAATAAACTGAAATACCCCAGCTCTAAGCCAATCAAACTGCAGAAATTTCTCGTGTAGTAGTATAAACGTATAAAAACAACTTACCGCTAAGAATAAACTCGGGGACAGTTAGTATTCCTTCACAGAAAAATGTTCTACCAGTTACTTTTTAACTGTAGAGCATTTAAAGACCGTTCTATAAATTGAGACGGCCTTAAGTATTGTTATCGCATTTTACTAGGCCACTCAGCGTCACCTGTACACTAGCGAGGCTTGCCTGGTTCGAGTTCTTCACCCTTGCTTATTAAGCATCCTCAAGGTGCTGGAAGCACCTCCAACGAAACCCAGGTTTGGAAGAAAAGTAGGTTGGATTAATTTTAATGTTACTACTATTATTACCAATAACACTGCCATTATTTGGGTGGTTAATTTACATGAAATAAGAAATAAGCTAATGGGTAATGTAGCTTGTTTACTTCAAAAATCTGTGGGCTCAGCCTCGTATCTATGACTTAAAGTACGGAGGCTGCCCGTGATAATTTACCCTCCCCTGTTCAGATTGTACTGGGGTTTCCTTCTGCTAGGAGAGTCAGTACTACCCACGAATTTTCACCGTCTTAAATCACTCAAGAGAGATCAGAGAGTCGTTAACCGGCGAAGGTCAGTTGGCAGCTTCGTTACTTAGGCAAACGATAAACGGCAAATTTAAGATGAGAATTTCTTAAAAAAGAAATTAAGCTGATAAAAACAGTCGAAAACAGGGTTTACCTAGGAGTAAAAACCTGTGGAGTTTTCTTTGTTTTCTAGCTATTTTTTCCTTGGCTCTATTGTGTTGACTTCTCAGTGGCTGCTTTGTATTCATTGTTTTACGTCACTCGTGAGCTTCACTGGGGTTTTTACACCGAGGATGAGCCAAAATCAATTTTTTTGGATGAAAGTAATGTGAAACTAATAATTTTGTTTGTCGAACTAAACAAACGTTAACGACAAGTAAAGGGAAAGCTTGGTCACATGGTACAAATTCTCGTTTGCCGCTTGCCGTAAACATGAATCGAACTCTATGGCATAACTGGGAGATTCCTTGCTTAAATTTCGCATTCTGTGGGCCCGAAGTTACAATGCTTTTTCATTTTAAGCATATTATTCTTAGGTAATGTTTGCAGCTAAGGTCACAACGAACAAAAATTTACATCTTTAATAACTTACTGGTCTCGACACTCATTGTTTAAATTATATTGCAAGCACTTTATATCATTGCGCCATTTTTATGTCTCCTCACAGACAACCAAATGCGATTCAGTGTTTCAAATAATGCTGACATCTATGGAGTTTGAAAGCAAGATAGCGATGAGGCGGGTAAGCGAGACGCCTATTTTAGGCAAAATACTTTTCATGCAGTCTTCGTGGTGGTAATGGTCGCTCAATCGATCCTCAATTTTTAGTCTACTCACCATTTAAACATTACGTCAAACTCGGACCAATGTTGGAAAAACTACGTATTGAAAGCTCTAGCTATTTTACTAAGGAATTAATTTTCTTATCATCGACCTTCGTGTACAATGATATTNTTATTTTTTGGGGTGCGCGCGGGCGTGTCATTTTTTTTTTTCTTTTTTTGTTTAGGGTTTTCAAGTTCGTTTTTTTTTTGTTTTTCGGGGGGCCCTTTTTTTTCCCTCGCTTCCACCCCGGTGTTTCGACCGGCTACTGGAGGTTTTCATATGGTCAGGGGGGGATCCAGACCTTTAGATAAGGGGGGGGGGGGGGGGGGGGGCGGTCATCCAGACCCTGAGATAAGGGGGTGCCCGGTCTCAAAAAAACTTTTTCCGGCCCTTAGGACCCTAAGTTTGGTCTAAAAATAAGGCCTTCCCTGGATCCGACACTGCAGGTGATGGTATCGCTTTACCGAGCTAGACCTATTAGTAGCACCCCGTTTTCTCGGATTGGTACATGAGGAACTTCACTCATGCTTGGTGGGTTTCGATTCCAAAGCGTTGTTGCAGGCCGTTCGGACAGCGAAAAGATATCCGGTATAGTATGATCACCTATCCGATATGTGAACTCTCCACTTTAGAGATCAATCGGCGCGGTGTTTCGCTCCGTCACAGAAATCGCGCCGAAAATAACCGTTCCTATGTGTGAACAGTAGCCCTATCCGATATGGTTTTCGTGCATGCGCAAAAGCTACCTGGTATAGTGAGAACCTAGTTTTAGTGTCGTACTTACACAAGGATTGATCTTTCTCACCCCATAAATTGAACTGTCATCAATGGCTCCCAGGCATATTTCTCAAACTGTACGAGAGCCTTATTACATTTACGACTAATCAAGTGGAAAGGTTTGACTAATCTGCTGCTTCTGCTCCTTTGTTTCCACCAGGCGTGTGCAAGTCAATTGAGAGGTTATATTGAGCACATGGGAATAACCATACTGCGTCACTTTAAGGTAGAGCTGTTTTTTAATCAATCATTTGAGGGTTATTAAGTCTTAAGGGGCCAATAAAACCTAACGACACGCTTAACCACTAACATGTGGCATTAGAATAAAGACTGACTGGACGAGTGCGTTAGCTGTTATTTTAAATAACGTGAAGATTTATGCAACTTTCTCCAGGCTCAAACAGGTTAAGGGTTTGATTTAGAATGGTTACGCTATCAAAAATTCCAATTTGAAATCTGAGTTAAAGGAAAATTTGATAAAGGCCTAAAGCGGAATAATGCGTGTGACATCTCCATAACTTGCAACTTGACGCGACGCCATTATGCTGCAATTTGCATCCACCCTACTTGCTTTAGAGTTTTTAATGTTACCAAAAGTACATGTCGCCTCCAGTTTTCCCTTAATAGTAGGGCTAAACAATCAAAACTGTTAAAAATCTGTCTGGCAAGTGGAAAGAAGAAAACATTTCGGGTAAAAATACAGACAGATTTGCCGTTATAAGTGCTGCGTGAGAAAACGTAACGCGAAGCAGTTGACAGATATTTGTTACGAACCTATTCGTGTTAGAGTGGAGAGAAAGGTTAGACGTAAAAGAATAATGCTTTTACGAACGTAGATGTAATAGTTGTTTCTTTTCGTTTCTTTTTTTTAGCGACTTTTAAGAGTTATCGTATCGTACTTGGAAGTAAGCGATTATCCCGACGAAGAAGCCAGGCTAGCCATTTTAGACGCTTTAAACACCGCAATACTTTACGCATGGCCAAGGTATGACGTTTGACATCTTTACCTTTTCACTCACAATTCGCCACTTTAAACAACGGCAAGGAAACTGGGCCGAGTTTACTTTCGCAAAGACTTCTGGGACTGATACTAGGCCATACTGAGCTTAAGCAAAGGAAAGCAAAGGCGTTTTTGGGCGACGCACCTCAACCGGAAGTCAGACGTTTTCTCTCTAACATGCTTTGGCGCTGCCAAGTTTGAAATGCCGAGTGTGATTCTCTCATACAGACGATTTGTTTAAAATTTTGGGCAAAACCACTGCCGAATTGGCTCTGATTCAATAGCCCATTCGGCCTTCGGCCTCATGGGCTATTGACTCTGAGGCCATGAGGGCGAGAGGAATAATTGTTTTAGTAAAATCCTACTAGTTGGTCAAAAATATCGAAAATTAAAAAAAATTTAGCTAGTTAAAGCAAGACTTTAATCCTTTTTTGCCGCCGAAGAGCCGGCGCTTTTCGAGCCTAGTAGTAGCTCAACCAACCAGAGCGCAGCATTGATAATAGACCACTAGTTGGATTTTACTAATGAAATATATACGTATGCCGTGTTGCCCAACATAAGCCTCAAATCAACAATGAATTAAATTGACTGGTCCAATGATTTCTGTTTAGGTATGTTTTCTTGTCGGACATTAATGATTTAGATTTACGATACATTTCCGGACGTTTACAACAAATTGAACTGTAAACTTTTGTTTTACTAAGTTTTGTATTTTGTTTTTGACACAATTTATTAGTAAAGGGCATTTTCGTGTCTTACAACGCATGGTTACTGAAACGTGCACGCAATTGCAAACTTGGCTGAGTACTAAGGTGCTGTTTTCTTTGTAGGATTCCTCAACACAGCTCCATGATCCTGAAATCGCTTCTTAAGTTACTTGTTGATGCGACAGATTCAACTCCTTATTTAACAACCCAAGGTTAGCTTATTACTTTATACGCTGTTTATTTACCAGGACATCTACCAAGAAGGGAAGGTGGAAAATTTTGGTTGTATACTTTCATTTTCTCCTGTGCAGCTTATTTTGGTTGAATGATCTGATTTATTATTCACGAACAGACCTTTCCACGGTTTTTTTAGCTTCTCAAAGTTCGAGAAATTTTACAGACGTTTGTATTGGTGGGTCAGAATATTAAGTAAACGTTTTTGAAATACTGAAAAAACTGATCAATACGTTGTTTGAATGTAATGAATTCTGATCATTTGCAAATCGTCATTTTAAATTTGGGCATCGTTTCGCCAATAGCTATGAATCATGGCGACTTCGCCGATTTTTGCCCAGTATACGATTAGACGTAGGAGAAGCATCGAGGACCACTGCAAGTTACGCCGCGTTTTTATCTTACTTTTTAGGGCGAAACGCAGGCAAAAAGTTTTAATGTACAAGTAAAAGCTCTGTTTTATTTTAACGACAGTCAACTCTCTCATAGCGACCACTTTGAAAATAACCGTTTTGTTTCTCAGTCAAATACTGTTTCAAAACGTTCTCGTGAGAAGCCGTTAAATAAATTTCTTAATGACCGCGACCACTTTTTAAAGCAAAAAATTGGCGTATTCTTTTGTTTTCTGTTTCCCGTAACCGACCAGCCGGCATGATCACGTATGATTCAAAGAAAACCACTGTTCGAATGTTACAAAAGTTCAGTTTTTAAGAGCGTTGACCAAGCATGGAAAAAGATTATAGCATTTGACTGACAAAAAAAGATGGTTGTAATACGATCTGTAGGTAAAAAGGTGTATTGTGACATTGATGCAAAATGTTATGTACAAAGTTTCAACAGTTCCAAGCGCTCTTCGATGTGAAACATTATTGCCAGTTGCTTGTTTGTTCAAGGTTTTGCTTGTTAGGTAATAACTTTATGTAATCACATTATAAATCAGTTAAGTTTCAGCCTATTTTCTTGATTTTCCCGCAGGGGACCACCTCCTGTAAGCGACCACCTTGTCGTGGACCAAGGATGGTCGCTTACCAGAGAGTCGACTGTATATCTTACCCTGCGCTCAGATCCTTCTCCTGTATGGCTTTTAGCGTTTAAGAAGACTATTTGTTTAATCACTTCCACCATATGGTGCGAACACACAGCAGAGCAAGGCTCCTTGCAGATAACCTACCCAGCCCAGGAGAGGATGGCCACACCACAGGGGTCTACGTCCCCTACTCTGTTCGAACAGTGGTGTGGGTTCTTTTACGTCCCGCAAGAACTAGATAAGTGAAAGTGCTGTGGAACGGGACCTACGGTTTCCCGTCCTTATCCGAGAAGACTAGAAATTCTAATAGTTTGCACATGTCATTGCAAAGGCAGCACTTTCCCCTCAGTTATTTGAAGACCCTGAGTGTTGTTCCGGCCGGGGTTTGAACCTGCGACCTCCCGTTTAGCAGACTGGGACTCTCCCAAAGGAAACAGGAGACGTCTGCACGCAGGCAAACTAGGTGACGGTTGTTGTTCGGGTTGCATGTCACAAAGTCGCGAAGGTGGTGTGATAAACAAACCAACTACGGCGAGTGACATGCGACGCAAATGACTTCATAAACGCTAGGGCTATGCACGAGAGAAACCACTCAGTGCTTGCAAGGTAACTACATCTGAACCCCCCAAGCTCGTTAAAAGTTCCAGATGTTTATTTGTCAGTGTATTTTTCGACTTCCCATTTTAGCTTATCAGCAATTGAAAGAAAAAACTGCGGAGTGCTTCCTTCTCCTTGTGAGGTGTTGTGGAAAACCATTCAAGGTATGCT